GAGGGTGGGACTGGCAGTGGGGTCTAGTTCCCACACAGCCCTGAATTTCACTGGTTGACTTCAGACCAGTTCCAGACTCTCAGCCAAACCTACTCAGCCAACTTTTCAGGGTTGTCATTCAGAGGATACAATTGAAAGGAGCAGTAGAATTGTATGTTTCCTTGATTTCCTTGGGAAAAAACAATGGAATGTAAATGCAAGAGTAAATAAAAGAAATAAATCATCTGAGGGTGTCCCTGTCCCTCTCTCTGTCCCTCTCCCTCTCCTTCCTCTTTTACTGCTTTGAATGTTAAGGGAGATACAACGTCCTGGCTTTTGCTCTTCTGGCAGCATCAACCATTGCTATGCAGTGCTATTGTAGTGTGTCTTTGATGTTTTGTTTTCATCTTTCTCTGGCTCTGCCTCATCCTCTTTGGCCTTCTGCACTTTTTTGTATGTCTGGAACAGTGTGGATGCCCAAGACATACTCTCCAGATGAGTAGACCACTTTATTTGCTGTCTTTGTATATAGAGAAGGATGGGATCTTTCCAGTTCGTTCCCTTATAATTTCATTCCTGGTTGCATCTCCCATGATCACTCCAGCCACGTTTCCCAAACATGTCATTTTGTGGTGACTACCTCAGCTCAAATCAAAATTGTCATGCCAAATGGAAGCAATGCTATGGCACCCATGCTCTGGTAGATATCTTTCACATGGGCTTGCCATTGGAAATTAGTTGGTCTATGTGTACAATGGTCCTTGGTGGACATAGGGCTTCTCCAGCAGGGCTCATCCCACGTTCTTGTTTCGATTCCTCAAGTTTTAGCCATATGCTATTACATCCAATCACAAAACATTTGAAGTGAGGCAATTTCTGATTGTGATGAAGCTTCAGTAGCATTTTTCCTAGTTTATTTGTCCTCTTTTATTTGGACACAGAATGGAACCATCTTCATCAATTATTGCTGTTGGAGACCAGCCCTAATGCTCCATTGCTCTGCAGATGCATACAGTGATATGCAGCCTTGCAATGTAAATGGATATCTTTCTTGCCATGGGTAGTCCTTTTGCCAGGGCTCAGTCCATCACAGTTCTGACACTGGTAGACATGCTGGCACCAGGGGTGGGCATTTGCTTGTGTTCCTGGGTGGAGAGACCCATGGTCCATGGGGTGGAGAGGGGGGAAACGGGAATCTTTTGTTTCTCTTTATGCATCCCAACTGATAGTGTGATGCCTTTCCTGGGATAGTACTCAGTGCAATTTCAAGTCATGGCTTCTAGAGGATGGAAGCTTAGTTCACACAAGAAGCATTCCTGGTTTTCAAAATGCAACCAAAGAATGTTGTGAAAGAATATCCAGAATTTATTTGCATCAGCTATTAAAATGACTGTTGCATTATATTCAGGGCAGAAATAACATATTCCTCCTTTTCTTCCAGATTAATTCCCAAGAAATTCCTCAGTATGAGGGCCTGGTCTGGCTGCTGCAGCATTTCCACTGGAACTGGGTTGGACTGCTTGTTCAAAATTATGACCATGGCAAGTGTTTCCTCCAGGCACTGACCCCCCTGCTGCAGCAGAAGGACATCTGTATGGCCTTCACTGAAATGTTCTCAACACTTGATGCTGCACACATGAACACAATGGAAACTGGATACATTCCTTGTTTGTGGCTGGAAGAAGAAGTCATTGTTTTCCTTGGTGATGACACTGCAATGGGACAATTGGCATACAGGTTATATATTCATGGAAACAATACAAAGATCCCATTTCATAAGGTATGGACCCTGACCTCCCATTCAAAATTTGAAGAAAGATCAAACTCTGGGGTTAAAATGTATTTAAAGACCCTTCATGGAGCTTTGCACTTCAGAGCCCACACAAGGGTTATTCCAGCATTCAAGCCTTCTTTCCTGGCTCTAGATCCATTCCACCCTCATGGAGACAACTTTCTTCAGAAGTGGTGGGAAGGGGCATTCCAGTGTCAATTTCTGAGATTGGGAAAACCCCCTCCAGAGTCAGAATCAGTGTGTACAGGGAGAGAGATACAGATGGATCCAAGTGAGTTCTTGTTTGAATTGGACTTGTCCAGTCACAGCTACCACATCTACAATGCTGTCCATTCTGTGGCACATGCACTACATGCCCTGTCCTGGTCTGGAATGAAACATTCACCAATGGGGGAAAGAAAGCAGTTTCTGAATATTCAGCCATGGCAGGTAATTTAAGCCTAATTTAGTGAAATCTTGAGAAACTTTCCCCATGGATTTCTCTCCATGGATGCTAATTCTCTGAATGGGCATTCAAAAGTTAGAAAACTTAGCAGGGATTGGTGGTGCTCCTCGAATATTGATGCTTTCCAAATAGTATGTATTGTCAATAAAGGAAGCATTCGAGCTTCAGATATGTACAAGTTCCAATTTAATGTACTTACTCAGAATGGGATTTGTGCCTGCCCCACTTAAGTGCCCCATGTTAGAAGCAGGTGGAGAATGGACATAATGGACTCCTGGCTGTTCCAGGACCCTGATTTGCAGTGCCCTTGTAATTGTGCAAGGTCTTTGTAGGAAGCGGACACCAGGCAAATATGCCCAAACCAGTGCGCATTCTTACCTGAGCACATATCACCAAAAGGGGCTGCATCTAACGAAAAAAGTTCACAATTGAATAATAATGGAGAAACAGGTCTCTGAACTGGATGGAAGTTCCATTGCATTGGAATACATTTTCACTAATGGTAACGTATTTTGAATAATTCTGCATTTTCAGATACAGGATCATCTGAGGAATGTCTGGTTTAACAACAGTGCTGGGGAGGAAGTCTCTTACAGTGAAAAAGATGGGAGATATGACATCTTGAACTGGAGCCTGTCCCCAAATGGAACTTTGGAAGCTGTGAAGATTGGATGGGTTGATCATGGTGCTCCCCAAGGCCAAGACTTCTCCATCCACTCTGCAGCAATTGTGTGGGCTATGAAGGTGGGGCTTGAGAGAAACATATGGGTCTTGGAAGCAGAAGCATGGAACAGTTCCACTCTTTCAGTAAAAATGCTGTGATTCTTTTTCTGTTGTCAGTCCCACTGGGTATTGGGAAGTGGGGTGTCATTTTCTATTCATAAAGGACAACATTTTTTCATCAAAAATCCCTTTTTGTTTCCTTGGACACTACAGTTAGTTTCATGAGATCTCCCATGCCTATATTCTTGCAGAGGTACTTCCAATGATAGACAAGAATGAGCATGATGGACCTAGGGTTGGACCCAGTAGAAGGCAGATGCCAAAGATCCCTTTTCTGCCTCAGAAGGGATTTAATAGGAGCCTCTGTCCCTTTTTTCCTGAAGAAGCTGGAAGCATTGAGAAATTGCTCATTCCACCTAGTTGGTGACTTCACTAGCCAAGCAATGAAAAACTCATCTTGGTAGAATGTCTGTTGAGAATTTCTTCAATGTATTTCTCTCTTCCAAGAATTGCTTCTTCCATTCACTTTTAGACAATGCCCCAAGCAAGATGTGTGGAGAGGTGCACTCCAGGAAACTGGAGAAGAGTTCCAGAGGGGAAACCGGTTTGCTGCTGCACATGTGAACCTTGTGCAGCTGAGATGTTTTCCACCTCCAAAGGTACCTCAAACATTAAGAGCCATTCATAAATGAAGAAGGTAAAGAAATGTGAGCAGTGCAGGGAAAGAAGAAGAAAAAAGATGACGTGAAGGAGAAGCATTAATACTTTTGGAAGGTTTAATCTCTCCTCCATATTGCAGACATCTTTGCTTTTCTGCTCTACAAACATTTCTAGATTTTATGTTCTTTCTAACGAATACCACATTTTGCCCAGTAGCTTATGAATGCCACGATATATGGATTCTTGTCCATCCTTACATTTACTTATGCTTTTGGCTGGGTTCACATGAGACTTTCCTGTATTTGGGAAAACTCCAAAAAGGGCAGAGGTGGGTCCCTCTGGCAACATTGTAAGATTTTCCTGCAACCAGAACCAGATTGCCTCTATTTCAAGGGCGGTTTCTGCAACTGGTCCACAGTCTTAGCAGAAACAGATCTTGGAGTTCAGTGCACAATACAAAGAGATTCTCAGAGATCAGTGCGCAATGTTCACAGAAATTGAGCTTAATATATGTACTTTAGCTTGTAAAAAATGAATGAAATACTGAAAGTGAAAGATTTTAGCATTTCCCTGCTTTCATTTCTACATATAAAATGGTTTTGATGACAAAAGATTGCATATTAATCCTTTAAAACTTTGCAGGGAGGGAATATTTTTGATTCTTTTTAAACTTACGGCTTTTTCCAAAAACTGAATTAAAGGGCACAGATTGCACTAGAGAAAGGAGATTTCCACATCTTCCTTTGAGTGTGGGGTGCTGCCATCAAAGAAAGAATGTCTGGTCAAAGTTTAGATGGTTCCACAACTATTGCCCTTTTCAGATGGAGCTCACTGTGCTCCATGCCCAAAAGACCAACAACCAAACATGAATCACTACCAGTGCATCCCCAAGAGGATCCATTCCCTTTCCCATGAAGAGACACTTGGTATCATTTTAGATTCGCTGCTTCTTTTCCTCTTTCTTGGCACATCTACTGTGTTTGCAACTTTAATTAAATATCATGGCACACCCATTGTAAAAGCGAATAACCGGGACCTCAGCTACATCCTCCTCATCTCTCTTTTGCTCTGCTTCCTCTGCTCCTTCCTCTTCATCAGTCATCCAACAAAGCTCACCTGTCTTCTGTGACAAGCTGCCTTTGGCATCACCTTCTCTCTTTCAGTTTCTTGTGTGTTGGCAAAAACCATCATGGCGGTCTTGGTCTTTATGGCTACCAAGCCAGGAAGCATGGCAAGTCATCTCCTGGGGAGACCACTGGCAATGTCCATTGTGCTGGTCTGTCCACTCATCCAAGTTGTGATCTGTGCCATCTGGTTGCTGAACTCTCCCCCATTCCCAAATCTGGACTTCCATTCCCTGGCTGAGGAGATCATCATGGAATGTAATGAAGGCTCCATCACCATGTTTTACACTGTCCTGGCTTACATGGGCCTCCTGGCTGTTCTCACCTCAGTGTGACCTTCTTGGCCAGGAAGCTGCCTGACAGCTTCAATGAAGCCAAGTTCATCACCTTGCAGTGGCTGTGGAGGTCTTCTCCACCTTGGTCTCAGGGGCTGGTCACCTGGGTTGCATCTTTCTCCCCAAATGCTACAACATTCTCTTGAGGCCCAGTCTCAATAGCAGAGGTCATCTTATAAGAAAAATGTAATCTAAACTTTTCATAATTTGTGAAAGTTTCTTCAGTACATGACATTAATAAATAAATCAATATTCTGAATTAACTAACTTTACTACTGGAATTATTAATGAAAATCTCCACAATCATGGCTATTAGGTAACAAAAACTATATCCCTTCTCATGTTTAATTTAGTCCTGTGAGAGTCCTCTATTTACAACAGGATTAAAGGGACAGGTTATTGAACACAGAAGGATTTGGTCTATTTTCAAATGTCATTTTCTGTTAACTGCTTGAGCATGATTACGACAAAAATAGTCACAAAAATGGTACATTTTAGGGAGGAGGAAGAAAACAGCCAGAGATCCTTTGGATCCCACTTTCATTGCCAAATCTGCCTGGATTTCAGACCTGCAAGGAATGAATGCTTTGTTCCAAAAGGGGTCATACAGTCAAGCATCCAGCACTTTCTTGACAGCAAAAAGACATTCCTAAATTGCAACAATGTGGAAGGAGCACCATTTTTAGTATGGCTGCAAGTAACAGTGCATGGAGTTGTTGTCACTAAAGTTTGCAGGAAGGGGAAGGAGATCTTGAATGGGCTATATGCAAGACCAAATAGAAGCACAAAATTACAATGCAGAATACATGTAGAGTCATAAGGAACACTTCATGATCCATTGAGGGTTTGAATAAAAAATAAAAATGAAATAATCAGAAGTTACAGAATTTAACAGGTTTCAGTGTTTGCTTTTACAATCTTCAGAAGGAAATTCCAGAAAGATAATTTTTTGGCTCTGGCCTCTTGGCAGAGCAGCAGAGCAGCAGAGGCACAGACTGGGAGAGAGTGCTGAGTGGCCAGGGGACTGGCAAAGGCAAGGCAGGAGCTGGGCAGGAGAGAAGAGGGCCAGGAGCAGCAGAGAAGAAGAGGGCGGGGCCAGAGAGGCTAGAGGAGCCTGGGGGAAGCAGACGGGTGGGGCGTCATCCCTTGTCTGCGTCCCTTAGCTGTGGAGTGGGCTGTACAGAGACTCTCTGCCCTGAGACACAGAGGATTGTTTGTTTGTTTGTTTTGTTTGTGCTGTGCTTTGCTTTGTTTTTCTTCCAATTTAAATTTAAGTTTATTTTATCCTTGTGTGTGTGTGTGCCAGTGGGTTTTTGCCTGGGAGAACTGGGCGAGTGAGAGGAACTGCAGGACAGACAAGGCAGGGGACCAAGGTAAGGTCTCGGAAAGGATACTGATGGCAGACCAGGAGATGGCCTTGGCTGGAGTAACAGGTGTTGCTGTCCACTGAGACAGCTGCAACATGTTCACTCTTCTCCCCCAGGAGAGGCAGGGATACACTTGCCCTTGGTGCAGGTTGGTGACCCTGATAGAAGAGGAGGTGAGGTGCCTGAGGGGAGAGAGAGCCCTCCAGGCCCCCCCGGAGCAGCCCCCCTCAGGAAAGAGGGTTGAGGGAGAGGCCACAGGAGGAGCAGCTGCAAAGACATGGAGGTATGTCACCCACAGGAGGAGGAGTCCAGCATGGCCTCCTCCTTCTCCTGGCACCAATCTGGAGCTGGGAAACAGGTTCTCTCCACTTGGGGAGGCTGGGGCTGATGAGGCCTCAGGGGACCAGCAGAACCCCCAGCCTGGGACGTCAGGCAGCAAGGGGGCCACTGTAGGAGAGGCGAGGGCCAGAGCACGGCTGCCCAACAGCACCGGGAAGGTATGGCGATGGATGATTGTTGTTGAGGACTCCCTGCTGAGAGGAACTGAGGTGGCAGTGTGCCACCCCAACCTGGAGACAAAGGAGATTTGCTGCCTGCCGGGTGCACACATCCAGCATGTGAAGGACAGAGAGGAGCATCTTGTTTACTCCAGGGGTCACCAGCCGCTCCTGGTGATCCATGTGGGCACAAACGATGTGGCCAGGCAGGGTGTGGTTGGGACCACCAGGGACTTTGAGGCCTTGGGGAAGAAACTCAGGGAGCTGAAGGCCCAAGTGGCCTTCTTGTCAATCTTACCTGTCCAGGGATTTGGGCCAGGAAGGGATAGGAGGGCCTCCGTGGTGAACCACTGGCTTAGACTGTGGTGCCAGAAGGAATGCTTCGGGTTCCTTGACCACGGCACTCATTTTCTTGCCAATGGACTTGTGACAAGGGATGGGTTACACCTCACGAGGATGGGGAAAAGGTCCTTTAGAGATTCTCTAGCGAGCTTCGGCCAGAAGACTTTAAACTGAGCCAGGAGGGGATGGGTTCAGCCCCCCAGTGACGTGTCTGCACTGGACAAGTGTGGGAAGAGGATCAGGGCTCTGGGAGCAGGATTTTAGAGATACTGGAGGGACTGACAGGGCTCCTACAGAGAGGGGCCAGGTATCAGGGAGGATGGGAGGAAGGAGGAGGCTGGGAACTCCAAGGAAAGGAAGTGGTGGGAAGGAGTTGAGATGCATGTACACCAATGGTAGGAGCAAGGGTAATAAGCAGGAAGAGCTTGAAGCTCTCCTGGGAATAGGAGGGTATGATCTGCAGGGAATAACAGAAACTTGGTGGGATGAAAGGCAAGTCTGGAATGTGAATAGAGAAGGGTATCACCTTTTTAGAAAGGACAGGAAGGGAAAGAGAGGTGGGGGCATGACTTTATACATCAGGGAAGGGATAGGATGCAGTGAGATAGGATGAGGCACAGATGGGGATTCGGTAGAGGCAGTCTGGGTGAAACTTAGGGGTTTGGACAGGGAAAGAGACCTGACAGTGGGGGTATGTTATCACCCTCCTGGTCAACTTGAGACCCTGGTTGATGTCCTGACAGGCCAGATTCTAAGGATATCTCGGGGGAGAGACACGGTAATTATGGGAGATTTCAGTCTCCTGGATATTACTTGGGAGACTCACTCGGCGGTGACAGCCAGGTCACTTCACTTCCTAGAAGCTATTGAGGGAGCGTTTTTCACACAGAGGGTCCGAGAGGCAACGAGGGGGGGGAACATCCTTGACTTGGTCTTGACCAATACGAAGGAGCTGATAGATGAAGTACAGATTAGGGGAGCTCTGGATGTAGGTGATCACTCCATCCTTTGCTTTGAGATTAGGGAACTGGGGATGTGCAGCAGGTCGAGCACTAGAAGCTGGGACTTCAAGAGAGCCAACTTTGGCCAACTGAAGGCCAGACTGGGGAAAGTCTCCTGGGATAGGTTACTGGAAGGTAAGCAAGTTGAGGAGGAGTGGATAGCACTCAAAAGGGAGGTTTTGGAGGCGCAAGCCTTGATGATACCTCTAGTCAGTAAGATGGGGAGGCGGAGGAGAGTGCTGCCATGGATGAGAAAGGAGGTGTTTAGAGTGATTAGACGAAAGAGGAATCTCCATAGGAAATGTGTACTGAGGGATATAGACAAAAGGGTATACCAGGAGGAGGAGGACCGTTGCAGAAAGATTCTTCGCAAGGCTAAGGCTGATTATGAGCTGAGACTTGCCAAGAATATCAAGAGTAACAAAAAAGGCTTCTTTCAGCATGTAAATAGGAAGAGGAAGGGGAGACAAGTGGTGGGAGCACTAAATAAGGAGGAAGGAGATCCAGTGACTGATATGAGGGAACAGGCACACATGCTAAATGACTATTTTGCCTCATGTTCTCCTGAAAGCAGGACAGGGGATATCTGCATAGGAGATTAGATGAGGTTGGGGACTTAGGGGCACAGATTAGAGTCACCCCCCCTTGAAGTCGAGGGGCTCCTCAGGGCATTGGACGTTACAAAGGCGCCAGACCCTGACGGGTTACACCCAAGAGTACTTAGAGAGTTGGCAGGTGTTCTCTCATGCCCGCTGGCCTCCATTTTTGAGACCTCGTGGAGAATGGGTGAAGTTCCAGAGGACTGGAAAGTGGCATCAGTGGTCCCAATTTTCAAAAAGGGTAGTGGAAAGGACATGGGGAATTATAGAGTGGTTTGCCTTACGTCCATTGTAGGAAAGACAATGGAAAGGCTCATAATAGAGAGAGAACTAGTGATGCTAGATAGGGAAGGGAGGCTGGCAGCCACACAACAAAGCTTCTGCAAAAACAGGTCCTGCAAGACAAAACTTGTGGAATTCTATGACAAGGTTTCACGATGGCTAGATGGAGGGGATGCAGTGGATGTGGTATACCTGGATTTCAGCAAGGCCTTTGACAAAGTGCCCCATGATATCCTGGTGGAGAGACTGAGGAGTCTTGGGATACAGCAAAGCACTGTCCGGTAGATTAGGGCATGGTTGACTGACCGAAAGCAGAAGGTAACCATTAGCGGGGAATCATCGGGATGGCAGTCAGTGGCAAGTGGGGTCCCTCAGGGCTCTGCCCTGGGGCTGATCCTGTTTAATCTTTTCAATAACGACATGGAAGAAGGGGTGAACAGTCTGCTGATCAAATTCGAAGATGACACTAAAACTGGAGCAGTGGCCACAACTGAGGAGCAGGTACTCCAGATCCAAAAGGATCTGGACAGACTATGGAAGTGGGCAGGAGACAACAGGATGGTGTTCAATGTGTATAAGTGCAAGGTCTTGCACTTGGGACATAGGAATAGGTGTCATAAGTACAGGTTAGGTGACAAGTGGCTGGAGAGCAGCACTTGTGAAAGGGACCTCGGGGTACTGGTTGACTGCAGGCTAAACATGAGTCAGCAGTGTGATGCGGTGGTCAAGAGGGCGAACGCCACCCTTGGTTGCATAGCCAGAAGTGTGGCTTCTAGTTCAAGAGAAGTATTACTACCACTGTATACGACTCTAGTGCGCCCGCAACTGGAGTATTGTGTTCAGTTTTGGGCCCCTCATTACAGAAAGGATATAGCCAGGTTAGAGTCAGTGCAGCGTAGGGCCACAAGGTTGGTGAATGGTTTTGTAGGGGATGGGGTATGAGTTGAGACTGAGGGAACTGGGTCTCTTCAGCCTGGAAAAGAGGAGACTCAGAGGGGATATGTTTTCAACATACAGGTATGTGAGGGGATGTCACATGGAGATGGGTAGAGAGTTGTTCTCCCCTGCAGAGGAAGACAGGACGCACTCCAACGGAGCAAAGCTCAGGGAGCCAAGGTTCCATTTGGATGGCAGGAAGTACTTTCTGGCAGTCAGGACTCCGAGGGTGTGGAATGGGCTTCCATGAGAGGT